GCCTGTCCTCTAGTCTGCAGGCTTCGGTTGCCTTCTGTCAGAATCAGTGCGTTCCTGGGCTGGAGGGTGAACGCCAAGGCTACGGGAAACACCAGCCACATAGAGGCCCCAGCCCAATATAGAGACGACAGGAACACAGCCCTGCTGAGCCATGTGCGGCCGCCAGCTATTACCGCCTCACAGCCCACCCAGGCAAGGTGACTGCAGGCCGAAGCACTTTTATCACTGTGCGCTGGCTGGTGAGGCAGCTCTGGAATGCAGGCCAGCAGGAACGGGCTGGATGGCCTGGAGGGGTGGGGACAGCCGGCTGCTCTCCTGCATGGTCTTATTGTCCAGCACGGCCATCGGACAAGCCCCCGGGTGCGAGTGCTTCTGTGTCATGCTCCATCGCGCTGGCCAGCGTCCTGCCAGCCAGATTGTCACCAGGCCAACTCTAGCTGGAGTGACAGATTCCGTTTCGTGGTAGGCCATGCTGGAGAAGCACAGTGCCCCGTGGCCCAAATTCTGGTGATGGTGGCCACATTGGGATGCCAGTCCAGGCTTGCCAGCCATATGGCTTTGCAGGCCAGGCCAGGAATCCCAGTTTCCAGTGCATTTCCTCCTTTCTGAAAGCTTGGTGGAGGGTGAGACAGGAGGGTCATAAGATCAAACCCAGTCTGGGCAGCTTAGCAAGTTAGGGAGACTTTCTCAACATTTAAAGGGGGCGTGGCTCACTGGGAAAGCCATGGGTTCAGTCCCCACTATACCCCCTTCCCCCATGCTTGGCATCTGTTCCTGATTTTCTTAAAAGCATAAAAGTTGTACAGTACATACCCAAAGGCAGGTTTCTGCCAGTGGGCTGCTAGCTAATGATCAGTGCAGTAGCCCTTTGTTCTCAGACTGAGTATTTTCCATCACTGTGGTTTCCCAGGGGACCTCCTTCCAGGCCCCTTGTGTGTAGAAAGCAGTAATTTCGCTGAGACTCTGAACTTGAACTTTTTGAGTCACAGCTGGTGAAGGGGAGCAGGTCACCTGGCCAGGTTTGTGGCCTTGCATCATAGTGACATGTGGTGCATTCGTGGTAATTCTCCCACATTGACGCACCTTTTGTTTCTCTGTAAGAGAGAAGAAAGGCAAGCACCAGGGAGGCAAAGAGAAAGTGGAGTTATGGGAAGAGGGATGATTCTCAACCAGAAAAGAGCAGTTTGGGATACATTAAAATGTGCAATTTGGCTTTTGCTGGTGGTACGGATTTACTGTGTGAATAAATTCACCATTCTCCATCTCTGTGATGAGAATAAATCCACCATCCTGCAGTGTCCAGTCTAGTGTTCACCTACTTGAGTGATGAGGATGTCAAAGAGAGTTAGAAGGTGGCTACCGTGTGCAGCTGCAGGATGGAGAAGAAACACGAGCGGGTCAGCGGGAGTGTGCCACAGTTTCTGGGAAGCCAGGAGCAGGGAAAGCTCTGGAACTGGCACTGCAGAGTTGACCTTCACTTGGAGAAAGGGTGATTTAATTTTTAAACGCGTCTTCTTAGCATAATGTGACTCAAAGGGCACAGGCAGCTCCCGGTGGTCACATTGCAGAGGCGCTTTGTCTCCCTCATGAATGACGCTTGGGGCAAAAGGGTCCACGCAAATGAAACTGGTCCTGGATGGGAGAAAATCCTTCCTGAGGATCTTGCGAGAAGAGGTGAGCGCAGGGCTGGCTGGGCAAGGACAGAGCGCCCCCTGCTGGAGCCAGGCTGTGGGCTCCTGGGTCCCCAGGTGCCAACTGTTCTAGCCCAGCACAGCCCACTGAGCACTAGAGGAAGTCTTGTTCATGCACTGCCAGTAAAGCTTCGGTCGCCATGCAGCTCTTTCAGGGCTGATTTTTTTAAACGTGGTGCGAAAAATGGAGGCACTCACGAGTTTCCGAGTCTGCTTCTCCTGGCACTGCTGACCACTGTCCTCCCCCCCGCCCCAGCTTTGCACTACCAGATGTCTGGGCGCCGGCGAGTTTGTTTAGCTTTGCATGCAACTTTAGTCCCTGTATACGGGGAGCTCTGAAGGGGCCTGGGTTTTCAGCTGTGTGTTAGTGATACTCACGAATACCGAGACTGACAAGCGAGGATTGAGGTAGTGTCTTGTTTTCGATCCTGTGGCCTGGCATTCACTCCCATCTCAGTACGTGCCACCATCCTGGGGTGTTTGTTTGCGCCCCGCACCCGGGTACCTGGCAGAAGTGGGCATTCTCTCACATTAGCTTAGCCTTCGAGAAGCGTCCAGAGTCCCCATCAGGACAGTCCCTGCTGACAAGTTTGGTGGCACATACATGGAGTCCCAGCATTCTGGGAGGCTGAAGCAGGAGGATCACAAATTTTTGAGCAACTTCACAATGTAGCAAAACCCTGTCTTAAAATAAAAAGGCTGGGGGTTCTGCTTAGTGTGAAGACCCTGGATTCAATACCCAGGACTGCAAAAGAAAAAACCAGTCCTGCCTATTTTGGGAGCCAACCCAGGAGAGCTTCGGTATACTTCCTGTCCTGGAAACATACAGAAACACACAGAAGCTGCCAGTGTCATTGCCTATGGCATGTGGGTTTATATAATTGACATATATGTATGACTTATGGATTACAGTATGACAATTCAATACAGTGTACAATGCACAGCCATCAAATCGGGGTAATGAGAGCATTTCCGTTTCCTCAAATATTACCATTTCTCTATGTTGAGAACCTTCAGTGTCTCTTTCGTTATACTGAAGTTTATAAGAAATTGTTGTAGACTACTGCTGCTGTGCTATAGAGCACTAAAGCTAACTCTACCATCTAACTGGGTTTATTATTACCAATTTCTGTGTCACCTCCCCCCATTCCCTTCCCAGCCTCTAGTGACCTCTGTTCTACTGTCTACTCCCGTGTGATCAGCTCTTTTTTAGTTTCACAAATGAGTGAGGACATGTGGTGTTTCATGCCTGGCTCGTATCACTTGGCATAATGTCTTCTGGTTCCGTCCTCTTGCTGCAAATGCCAGGATCTCTCCCTGTTTGTTGCCAGATAATATTACAGTGTGTATGTAGATCGCTCACGTGACATTGTCCATTCGTGCGTCAGCTGACACCTAAGTTGATTCCGTACCTTGAGTCTCATGAATAGTGCTGCAGTCAACATGGGCGTGCAAGTGTCTCCTTGACACACTGATTCCATTTCCACTGGCTGTGTACCCTGTGGTGGGATTGCAGGATCATGAGTATGGGGCTGTATTTTCAGTGTTCTGAGGAACTCCGTACTGTTTTCTATGATGGCTCTGCTACATCCCCATCAGTATTGTGTAATAGTTCGCCTTTCTCCATCTCCATGCCAGCATTTGTTAATTTGTTGTCTTTTTGCCAGTAGCCATTCTGACTGGGGTGAGATGATATCTTGTTGTGTTTTTGGTTTGCATTCCTTGATGATTAATGATATGAGCATTTTCCCCATTCTTGCTAGCCATTTGTATGTCTTTTGAGAGCTGTCTATTCTGGTCTTTTACTCATTTTAATCAGATTTTGTCCTCTTGTGTTGTTTGTATTCCTTATATAGTCTAGATACTAACCTCTTCTCAGATGGAGAGTGTGCACATATATTCTGTAGGTTGACTCTTTACTGCTAATCGCTTCCTTTTCTGTACAGATACTTCTTAGTTTAATATAACCTCATAGGTTTAGATTTGCTTTTGTTGCCTGTGCTTGAAGGTCTTATCTAAAAATCACAGCCATGGGGCTGGGGATTTAGCTCATTGGTACCACACCTACCTGGCAAGCACAAGATCCTGTCTTTTTTGCATTGTTTGCATGTCTGTCATTTTTTCCAGCACCATTTGTTGAGGTAATTGTCTTTTCTTCAATGTATATTCTTGGCACCTTTGTCAAATGACAGTAGGCTGTAAATACATGAGTTAATGTCTAGGTTTTCTACTCTGTTCCACTGATCTCTGTGTTGGTTTTTATACCAGTACCATGCTGCTTTGGTTACTGTAGTTTCTATGATGTTTTGAGGCCAGGTATTGTGATGCCTCTAGTTTGTTTTTTTGTGCTCAGGATTGTTCCAGCTGTTCAGGGCCTCTTGTGGTTCCATATGAATTTGTGCTTGGTTTTTTGTTTTCAATTTTTGTGAACCATGTCATTGGTATTTTGATGAGAATTTTATTGACTCTGAAGATGGCTTTGGGTAGTGCAGACATTTTATTAATTCTTCCAGTCCCTGAGCATCCAGTGCCATTCTCAGTGTTGCTACTTGAGCTCTCATTCCCGCGAAGCATTCTAACAAGAGGAGAGTGAAGGGGTCCAGCCAGAGTCTTTAACAACAACTATCAACAGCCACGGGTGCGCTACACTGGGTCACAGACATACGGCTGTCCTTGGTATCCAGGAGCACTGGCCCAGGACCTCCTCCGCCAGGCCAGAATGGCTACTTCCATAGCATTGCATTGCGTGAGGTACCACAGGCAGTCTAGAGATGACTTAAAGCATACGGGAGGATGCGTATACCTTGCCTGTGTCCACTACACCATTTTCTGCAAGGGACTTCACATCCTCAGATTCTAGTGTGTTACATATAGTTTTTATTTTACTTGTAAATTCATGCATTTTTAACTATGAGCAAGCAGTAATATCATTGCCCTTTGCCCCCTAAACATTGCAGTGTGTGTCCCCTAAGAAGAAGGGCATCCAGTTTACCTGACCACCGTCCACTTAGGAAATGCAGGCTAGTCAGCATTGACATAAGACTGTTTCCTAAGACGCGGGCTGTATTTGAGTCTCTCCTCTTGCTGCAGTCACATTCTTTATAGCACATTTCTCTACCCAGGCCCAGGGCCCCTCTGCACCTGCTTGACGTGTCTCCTGGGCTGCTGTGATTGGCCCCTGTCCTGCAGGCTCGCTTTATCTCTGTGACCTTGACATTTTTGGAGTATGCTAGCCGGCTGTTTTACAGAGTGCTCCTCCATTGGATCTCACGCGTTTTGAGCAGCCCTCCTCCTGTTTTCTTCCCCCAGGACCTGGCAGCCGCCGAGAAAGACCCCTGTCAGCACCCCGCAAGCCCATGTGCACTGCCGAGGACCGAGAGGAAGACGCATTGGCCGTGCTCCGAGCCATCCAGGTGGAGAATGCTGCCCTGCAGAAGGCGACCCTCTCCAAAAAGGCTGAGCCACCTGCCGGGCCCCTGGAGGTACGTGCCCAGGCAGGCTCAGGCCAAGAAGGAGGCGAGGGCTGTGCAGGGCCCCTGTGGGGCCCGGGCAGTGAGGAGCAGAAGGGCAGACATTGACTCTGACCCTCAGCCTCGCCTGCATTTCCCCTGCTGTGGACAGTTACTGCCCCGCCAAGGCTCCACTTCTGCCGCCTGCTTGCTGCTTTTTGTTTACTTTTGAAAGCCTCAGTTCAGTGCTGATGTGACCCCATTGTGGCTGATTGCTCTGCAACCTTTGACTTGGGCCGTAAATTGCTGGGTCAGTGAAAGAATGGAGCACATAGCAAACCGAGGCTTTGCTGGATCTCAGCCCCCAGAGCAGGAGCCCCGCAGCTGCGGTGGTCCCCCCTGCTCCCTGCTCTCCTGCCCTTGCCTGCTGCACTTGTTCACGAAACCTCTCTGAGCCTAGAGGTGTTCATTTGCACCCTCAGCTTTGGCCTTGAGCAGCAAACAGGAAGACCAGTGATGGGGCAGGGTGGGGCGGGGCTTCAGGAGCTAGAGGCCTTGGACCCTCCCAGTGTGCACTGTGTTCTTCCTCAGAAGCCTGGTTTCTTAACAAAAACATTTTTTGGTACCGGAGATTGAACTCAGGACCTTGCACTTGCCAGGCAGGTGCAGTGCCACTGAGCTAAATCCCCAGCACTTGAACCCTGGTTTCTGACTCACCCGCTGAGACCTCCTCACTTTGGCCAGCTCAGTGCTCACAGTGACTCTGAAGTAGGCAGGGCTGCTGTCACCACCCTGTTTTAGAGATGTGGCCACTGCACCCAGAGGAGCAAGGTGGCCTGCTCAGGTCCTGCCTTTGCACACGGCCAGGGTCTGCCTGGCTGCAATCCCAGGTCCGTCCACACCACCAGGTGTCCCCAGACTCAACTTCAGGCTGCTTTCTGGTGCACTTGGGCAATGCCCATTGTTGCTTCTGGAGCTCTGTTTTGGACCAGTGCTTATGTCTGTGGGTTTTGGAAAAGGTCCCCACCCCTCTCCGTGCCCTCATCTGTGAATGTAGAGTACCCCGTGGTGGCTCTGTTCCTACCTCACATCATGTGATGACATCTTTCCAGGACACAGAGGAACCACCAGCCAAGCCCTGGACCAGTCTGCTCAAGGCCAAGGAGGAAGCCCTGCAGGTCAGTGGAAGGCCGAGCCACACCTAAGCCCCCGTGTGCCCACAGCCCCGCTAATCTCAGGACACGGCTTCCAGGGTTCCAGCAGGTCCCATCTGCACCCTGAGCACCCAGGACCTTGTGCCCATTTCACAGTCAGAGAGTGGCATGCCCAAGGTGACAAGTTGAAGCTAGAAGTCCCCAGACCTGCTCATCAGACTCCTCTGTTTCTGTTTCCTAATGAGGAAACACAGAAATGGATCTTAGGATTGGGAATCAATAGGTGGTATCTATATCTTCCTAGGTCAATTAGGTGGAGCAACAAAGACAGCCCTGGAAAATAAAGACATGAATTATTAAAGCTCCCAGGAAATATCTTTGTTAGATCGTGTGTGGGTCTATGCAGTATGCTCAGAACATGGAGAAACAGAGACAGATAAACCCTGGTCTCAGGGAGCCTCCAGGAACAGCAAATAAAGCTCTAAATAAGCAGAAAGGGAGTCAAATCTGCTGATGGACGGGAGAGTGCTGGGTATGGGCTGGCTCTCAGCTCCCTTGGAAAGCACAGCCCACTTGCGCTGAGCCCTGCCTGTGAGAAGGACCCATAGCGAACAGCGTTCTGGGTGGAAGGGATAGGAAAGCTTCAAGGAAGGAATGGGAGGGTGGAGGGCTGGAACGGGGTGCAGGGTGGGCAGGACACCACTCCAGAAGCCTGAGTGGGTTTTCTTCTGTGTTGCCCCCGCTTGTCCTGTCAGATACTGGTCCTCTTAAACCAGCATAAGCTGGCATTTCAGGTGGTCTCACAACTTCTGCTGGCCTAACCCCTGACCTGCAGGCCCACCCCCAGTTTCTGTGATAAATGAAAGAGAAGGCGAGGGACTCAGGGAGTTTAAAATGAGAGCTCAGGGATGTTCCCGGAGTTGTCTGTGGAGTCCGGTTACTTTGTGCAAACTGAACAGGGCCTCCTTGGGCATGCTGAAGGGTTTGGACGAGAGATATGATCAGTAGCTCATCAGAGCACATGGCTGCGCAGGAGCGCCCAGATTGTGAGAAGCCGAGACTCAGCGAGGGGTTCTGGACCTGAGCAGCCCAGGCCGGCACCGGCTCCCTGCACCCCTGTTCCTATCCCCCATTGAGACAGGCTGGTGAGGCTGTGCCTCCGGCCATGGCCATGCTGTCTTGGGCCAGGAGGGTTCCACGCACCTGTGTCTCATAAGCATTTTGTTTTTAGTTGCTTCCTGCTGCCGCCGCCGTGTCCACGGTGCCTGAGCCGCCCCAGACAGCAGGGGGAGGCCACACCGCCCACCAAGCCCTCAACGGGATTGGCCTCTCGGGAAGCAGGTACTGACCATGGCGCCGGAAAGCCCCCTGCAGTGCAGCCACGCGCACCTTCCTAACTGGGGTCTCTCTCTGCCTTCCGGAGCTCCTGTAGACCATTTTCAACTGTAGGTTTAGGCTGCATCTCCCCTCACCCCATCCAGCCCGAGCGCACAAAAGCAGCTCAAGATCTGGCAGGGAAATGGCCCTGGCTTGTTCAGTCTGGTCACAACCTTCTCCCGGTCTCCTCTGGAGCAGCCCACACTGCGAGGGGCAGTGAACTTGTTCCTCAGCTGACCTGGGGACAAGGGTGGCCCAATGCCACATCCTGGAAACTCCTTTTCTGTCTTAAAGTTTGTTCATGTGCAGCAATCTGCCCATGAACATGCAGCATCAGAGACTGGATTGGTAAGTTTTATTATTAAAATAAAGATCTTATTGTCAAAAATAAATAAATTGATCTTCAGAAGGATGTACTAGCCATAGCCTGTAGGTTCACGTATGTCTTAGCACATAGGGACTCTCCCAGGGCTGTCCTGTAGGGTTGTGCATGTTATAGACTGTGCAAAGTACCTGGCCAAAGTCTGAAATCCAGTCTGCACGCTGGTCACAAAGTAGCCCTGAGCTGAGTCTGCATCAGTCCAGAAAGGGGGCTTTTCCCTCAGGATGAAGGAGGCATTTACTTGCTAAGCCATGAGCCCTCCAGGGCCACCTCCACCCAGAGGCAGCTCCTGTTTATAAATTATCAAAAAACCAAATAGGTTTGAGGCAGAGCCAGCCCTTCCTCTAAGTGTCTGCAGAGCCCAGAAGAAACCACAGCTCCGCACCACCGTGGCCATAAATCAGAGCCCAGGTCCCCTGCACATGGGGGGCTGGCCCACGAGGCTGTGTGCATCCGGCACTGTTCTGGCGGGCACTTCTGTCCTCCTCTCTGACACCCTCCATGTTGAGGGGTGCTTCACCTTACACAGCACATGGCGGGTGCAGCTGGGGCCCCCTGCTAGGTTGTCCTCTGCAGTGAGTAGAGCAGAGCCAGTGCCTAGAGCAGTGTCAGCACATTGCTTCTATAAAGGCCAGCTGGGCTGGCAGCCAGTAGGCATGCCCATCATTTATTTGTTAGTTTTAACATAAAGGCCATCCTTGGGATTTGGCCCGCATGCCTTGGTTTGGCCAGTCCGTGCCCTGGAGTCTGCACCAGCTCTCCTCCAGCCCAGGGAGGTCCGCTCGCTGTCTGCCCCAGTTGCGCTGCTTCAGTGGGCTCTGATTCCATCACTAATTGTGCAGCTAGCCCAGGGAGAAGCCGCCTTCCTGCTGCCTGCGGGGTACAGACCTACTCCCCAAATTGTTCCTTCTCCCTGAGGGGCAAAGCCAGTGTGGTGCCGTCAGCAGGAAAATGTTCTCTTTTGTGTGTCATTTGCTTCTTCCTGTTAAAATAAAATCCCATTTCAGACAACAGCAGAAGCTTCTGGAAGTCCTGCAGACCACTGGAGGTGACCCTGCCCATCCCAGAGAGGTCACTGCACCAAGCGAGGAGCAAGCACTGGACACAGAGGTGAGAACTGGACGTGAAGACCAGCCCAAAAGGCAAGGGTGGAAGGGCCCTTGGAGCAGTCAGGTCTAGGGTTGGAGCAAGGGAAGCAGAGAATAAAGGTGCAGGCCACAGCCTTTTGGAGAGAAATCGCATGTAGGAAAATATCCCACATTGCCAGTGACCAAGAAGTACAGAAGAGCACGGCCTTGGCATTCTCTCTGATACCTGAGTTGGCCAGTTATTTCCCACGGTGGCCTCTAGTCTGGCAGGGTTTCTTCCAAACTGGGCTGCCATGCCATGCTGGCGGCTGGATCCCTGGATGACACGCTCTCCGGAAAAACAATAGGTGGGCTCTCTTGGACTCAGGAAGAGCCTCAGAAACAGCCCAGCGGTCCCACCCTGGGGAAATCACGGAAGCAGCAAGTTATAGGCACAAAGGTGTTTATGGTGGAATTGTTGAACGTAAGAAAAATGAGGAGAAACCCATGGAAATAATCTAAATGCTGCCTCATAATGGAGTTAATCGGAAGCGTGTGATGATATGTCAGCTTTAAAGTACAGAAACTTATCATTATGAGAATTAGAAAATCTAAAGTTCTATAAAGTTAACTGTAGAGATGACGCGAATCTTTGTGAAGTCCCACGAGGTGGCAGTGACTCTACAGAGGCAGGCCCTGAGCTGCAGCAGGGAGCCCTGCATTAGGCAGCAGCCCGGCAGGGGCTCTTCTTCTTTTGTGCCCACAGGTGTGTGTCCCTGCACACCCTCCACGCCCCCAGCTTCACCTGAGAGGGCTTGTGGGTTTTTATTACTGGCCAGCGAGCACTCAGTATGAATCCCACAGCCACGTGCAAACCCACATAACAGGTAAGGCCCTGCGCTGGCCTGGACCAGGGCTCCCGCACTGAACCCGGTGCCACCATTCAGAGGTTCCGTGGCCTCCTGCGGGCCTCGTGGGCTCTGGCCCTGAGCATCTGTGGCTGCCACACCAGCTAAGTCATCCTCACACTGGCCCAGCGAGGACAAAGCGGGAAGAGTAGGAAGGACCTGCCGCTCAGGGCCTGGCACGTGGCAAGGAGGAGCCAGTTGAAAGTTCATGTTTCAGAAGAACCAGTTGCTTTTCTCCCCCCGGGATGGAAGAGCTGCTTTCTCAGCTATGAAGAGTCGAGTGTGGTGTAACCTCAGCCACATTCAAAGGGCCCATACTGATGAAGTTTCTTTGTGCTATAAGAGACAGAAAATGCAGAGCAAACTGACTCACATAACCAAGAGAATAAAAGTGCAGATTCCTGTCGTTAAAAATGCCCCGGCGAAGCCGGGTGGGCCTGGATGCTGCAGCACACTCCATTCTCTCCACTTAATCTCATGTTAACCACAGCCTTTGATCTGTCCCCTCCAATGCCAGTTCCAGCTCTGCTCTCTCCCTGCGGTCCCTAAACTACTGGAGTAGCTCCTCTCCCTCCCATGCCCTGCAAGAGAAGAGCCTGCCACCCACATGAAGCTGACATTGTCCTAAGCTGGAGCCATGCCCAGCACCAAGCCATTCCCGCCTTGTGGCCCAGGGGAAAGCACACACACGCACACACGCACACACCCCGATTGAGAGAGGACCAGTGAGTGCCAGGGATCAGGAACTTCCAGACCCCAAAATCAGGCAACACAGAAGCCAGAGCCCTAGTTGCAACACTGACAAGTGTGACATCCTTAGTTCAGAGACCCCGGGGCTTTTTCCTTTAGAATCTCAGCTTGGGAATTGCACATTCAGGTTGGCATTGGCCAAGAGGTCCAGCAGGGGCCCCACAAGGCAGCCCTCCTACCCGCTGTTCCTCCTGCCACCAGCCCTTCTTCCTGCCTCCAGCAAGCAGAGCAAACAGCCCTGCGCTTCCTGCCTCCCAGGCCACTCACCTGGCCTGGAACGCTGTCACAAACAAGCTCAACGGCCTGCCAATCCCGAGAGGCAGCCAGGCCCATTCCCTTTGGGGCTCAGCCCAGGGCAGCGAGGGCCTGACCAGGCCCCAATATGGTGTGGAAGAGGGTGGGGAGCAGCTGTGGTTCTGATAGCCGAGCTAATCAGAACGGGCTCCGCTGCCTCCCGCTCTCCCAGCCCCATCTCGAGGCAGTTGGCTCATCCAAACCCATGCTGGGAGCAGTAGCACATCTCACTGGCTATTAATTAAAAAAATAAGTGGGGAACAGTTGCTGTTCATTTGCTTGGCTCCCTGCTCACAGACCATTGCAGATTCCAGTGCTAATTAGCAGAGGGCACGAGCACGGGGAAAGCACCGTTTTATGAGTGACTGATCCGTGGGACCAGGGCTGCAGGGCCCCGAGCCTGAGGAAGCCATTCTGCAGGGTGACCGTTTGCGATGGCGCTCACGCACACCCGGACCAGACGGCCCGCCTGGGAAAGAGGCAGGCTTTAAAGTCAGTGGAGGAGAGAATCGGAGCGCAGCAGATGCTTGGAGAGGGCTCCCAGTGCCACAGCCGCCCCCTCGGCATCCGCTGCTCAGCCGCCTGCCGGGCTGTCACTTAGAGGTGGCATCTTGCCTTCCCTGGCCGGGCTGGGGATGTCAGTGATCGGCCCAAGCGACTGGTCCATACCTTGGCTGCCTGCTGTCTTCACCTGCTCGGGCTGCCGTGCTAAACAGCACAGACTGAGGCTGGCGCAGCACAGGTTTATTTTCTCCCAGCGTCAGAGACTACGGGTCAGCATCACGGAGGTGGCAGGCTCAGCTCTCTGAGGCTGCGCTCCCATCCCCAATGTGTCCTCACATGGCCCTTCTCCCATGCACAGCCACCCGGCATCTCTGTGTTCAGATCTTGTCTTCTCTTAAGGACACAGTCAGATTGGATGATGGCCCGCCCCTGACAGCCTCATTTTCATTCAGTCACCTCTTTAAGGTGACTTCAAACATAGTCACAATCTGCAGTCTTAGGGGCTAAGGCTTCAACAGGTGAACTTGGGAGGGGAGCGCAATGCAGCCACCATAGCGCCCCCCCTTCAGTAGGCAGCGTGAACACTGCCTGCTGCAGAGAGAGGATGATATTTAAATGTGTTTATTTATTTGGAAACCCTTAAACATAATGCTAAGGGCTGGGGCACAGCCACTATATTTTATCATTTGTTTGTTTTGAGGTACTGGTCGCTGAACCAGGGCCTTCGCACTGAGCTCCATCCCCAGCCCTCTTTATTTTTTACTTCGAGACAGGGTCTCGTTAAGTTACTAAGTTGCCCAGACTGGGCTCAAACTTTCAATCCTCCTGCCTCACAGTGCTGGAAGTATAGGCACGTACCTTCATGCCTAGCCCATTACTATATTTTGAATGGTTTTCAATTAAGATCTCAGGTAATCTTTACAACAGCCAAAGGTATCAGGTCTCTTCTTAGCTTCACTGTGCAGGTGGAGGAACTGTGACCCTGGGAGGCTAAATAACTTGCAGAAAGGCCACGGCAATGGGTGTGCTGGGTTCCAGCCTGTGGTAGCCTCATCCTAGGTGTTCTTTTTCCCCCCCTTGAAGGATGAGTGGAGACTGAGAGCAGAAGAGATCAAAGATGCTGTGTACGTGACCATGGAAATCACGTCCAACTGGGGCAACCCGTCATGGGTGGGTCTCACAGAAGTTGAGTTCTTTGACCTGAGCAACACGAAGCTCTGCGTGTTGCCCCACGACGTGGACGTCCAGAATACCATCGCGCCCAGGGAGCCAGGCTCCCTGGTCAACAGGAATGCAGCTGTAAGTGGAGGGTGCCCAGCTTGGCTCTTCACTGCCTACTTGGCACGCCTCTCTACCCACGCATGGTGGTCTGTGCTAAGGGTATAGTCACAGGGAGGGAGTGTGCTGTCAGCTGCCTGTTCTCCGCCTGGCAGATAGGTGGGAGCCTGTGCAGTGCCGAGGCTCTCCTGCATGCTTGCCAGGGCTGGCTGTGAGGGGTGGTCTTGGGAGAGCCAGTTTGCCCCTCTGGGTCCCCCTTGTAGCTTACTAGAGCAGGCACAAGAGCCTGGTATCACTAAGGCAGTGCCCTCATTCTGTGGGTGAGGCTGGGAGGCCTGGACCTGGCCAAGGCCACACAGTGCAGGTGTGGGCCAAGTCCACATCCTGAAGCCCGGCCAAGATCCCAGTCCACATCCCAGGCACGGGGCGCACGCCCAGTGGATGTTCAGTACCCTTTTCCTTTATGTAGCCAATAGACTAACAGGAAAAAAAGCACTGGTATTTTCCTTTCCTGCCACTTTCAAGTTGGACACAAAGACCATGAGAGCCAATAGCCAGCCACACTCTTTACCATGGTCTGCTCCAGCACTACTCGTCACTGTGACTGAGAGGGACCCGAGAACCCGGGCACAGAGCTTGCCTGTGAGTGAGGCTGGTGTGCAGGAGACAGGGAGGGCTGGATGGGTCTCTTCTGCACCTTCTAAACTACCATGTACATATGTATATATGTATATCTATTCTTCCCCCAAAGTATTAATTTTTAAAATGTGACCAAAATGAAAACAGCTACCAAGTGTTCAGTTCTTGCCCTGTGCCAGCCCAGTGCTCAGCGCTTCCTCCTGGGCTGTCATGGAGACCTGGTACATGGATCTCATGTGGATGTAGTGCATGTGATCACATGTAGATCTAAGCACACAGGCTTGAGAAGCGGAAGGCCTGGGTTCCAAGCTCAGCCCTTACCACTTGTGAGTGCAGCGGCTCATTGACTGCTACTGAATTCCCTGTTGACACAGTGGGGTCATGACAGCACTCGCCGTGATGCAAGGCTGGAAGGATCAGCTGTGGACAGGAAGCGCTGAGCACCATGGCTGGCTCTTCCCAAGGCCACACTACACAACAGTGACTGCTTTCCCTCTGGTTCTTATTAACAGCATAAATACTACTAAGAAGTAGATGTTATTATTCTCATTTTAAAGAAGAGGAAATGAGGAAGTCCTTGAAATCCCCAGTCCTAGAGCCCCAGCTTCTCCTGACCATGTGGCCTTGGGTAACTAAGCTGCCTTCATGGAGAGTCTGTTTCTCTGCCCTGTGTAAAATGGAAGATGGGAGGTGGATCATCTGTTGTGATTCTTAGATTGTCTGAAACAGAAACTGAGCCTGACTCATGTTAGCACTGTGTGTGTGTGTGTGTGTGTGTGTGTGTGTGTGTGTGTGGTACTGAGGATTAAACCCAGGGCCTTTGTGCTTAGCTACATCCCTAACCCTTTTAAATAACTTTTATGTTCTTTTTTTTTTTTTTTGAAAATAACTTTTATTTTCATACACTATCTCACTAAGTTGCCCAGGCTGGGCTCCAATTTATAATCTTCCTGCTTCAGCCTCCCAGAGTGCTGGGATTATAGGGATGCACTGGTGTGCCTGGCTTTAGCACATTTTTTAAACAAGAAAGTTTGTTTCAAGTCTTTTGGGTACCTAATGTACTCACTGTCACTGAGGGGGAGTGGACAGGCCTCGTGGTCATGTTGGGGTCCCAGGTAGCAGCCCAGATGCTTGAGCACCAAGGGCCTGGTCTTTGGGGGACACGATGAACCACAGGACATGAGGCCCCTCCAGATGGCGGCACAGTGACCTTGACCCTTGACAGGAGCCAGCCTTGAGGGTAGCAGCTGCCTAGGTGGCCGGCCCAGGCCGGCTTCCTGGTTCCAGTCTGTGGGCCCTGATGCTTGCCTTGCCAGCGTCCACATCCCCCTGTGCAGAAAGCAGTGGCTCTTTGGAACCCTGCTGTACAGAACGCAGCACTCCAAAGACGATGCAAAGTATCACTGGATTTGATAGGAGCCAATTCTGATGACTGCTCTCCCTATTTCTCTGCTCCCAGAGGCTGATGGGCTTTGCTATGTGATGACAGAGGACCTGACCCATGGCTTTGGTTGGGTTTTTGGTTTTGTTTTGTTTTTTACTTTATTTATTTGGGGGGCCTGAGGATAAGGCAGGAGGTGTATCACCCTGGCTTCCTGGGTCTCTGTGGGGAGGCGGATTTCCCTGCTGGCCTGAATTAGTCTGTGCTCCAGTCCTGGGGCGACCAGGACACCCCGCCTCCCAGTTTTTCTGGCACATGCCCACCACGGCCTGACACACAGCCACATTTGAGCCTCACATCAGCCTCGCAGTGATGCTCCTCACTTCACAGTGACAAAACCGAGCCTCAGGGGGCAGGTGACTTGTCCCCACCACACTGCTCTGGCCAATAGACCCCACTGATCTCTGGGCAGAGGAACCTGCAAGGGAAGGTGCCTCCAAGGAGTGAGTGCGGCACGTGGCAGATGTGGGTATGCCCCAGCTCCATGGCAAGCCCCTTCCCTGTGTGCCCGCTCCATCTCTCCCTGTGGCTGCACCCTGGCCCATGGTGTCCATGACTCCAAGTTATGCACCCAGCCCTGCCCCGTCTGCCGAGGGCCTGGTGTGAGTGTCAACTTCCTTCTGACATCTCGTCTCAGATAGCTACTGCTGTCTTAGACCACAGAAATCTAAGTTCTGGTCCCCTGCCCACGTCACCACACACTGCCCCTTCCATGACACATGTGTGCAGGAAGTGGAGTTACTGTCCACTCAGCTGTGCCAGCACACCCCAGGTTAGAGATTTCTTCTGAATCTGTAGTTACTTCCAAATAAAAAGCTAACCCAGGTGTGGTGGTACACACCTGCACTCCTGGCCCTCTGGGAGCTGAGGCAGGATGATACAAGTTCAAGCCAGCCTGGGCAATTTAGCAAGACCTGTCTCAAAATAAAAAAGGACTGAGGAGGTCGCCCTATGCAAAGGCCCTGGTTCAGTCCCAGTACCACACAAAAAATCACTTCCAAATAAAAAGTTAGAAGGTGTTTGCACACTTTGATGTCCTGGGACAGTGTGAACAGGACACTGTCCAGCACCTTCCCGCAACCAGCAGGCCTTGCGGTTCCACCTCCCTGTAAGTCCTGACGCCAGCCTCCCCTCCATCTGCACGGCTCCTCCCATGCCCGATGACCTGCTCCACTTGCTGGGAAAATTAACTGGCCTTCCTCTGTCCTCGTCCCATCCACTTCTTTCTCCATTACATATCCAAAGTGATCTCTAAAAAGTATCAACCATCCCCTCCCCTACTTAAAACTCCTGCCGTGTCTTTGTGTCGCACTTAGAAATAAAACCCAGGTGCCTGACTGGCCAGGAGGCTCGGGGTGGACAGGCCTGCTGCCTGCACCGCCCACCCCACACCCAGGGCTCCTCCAGCGGCCCCATGCATGCCCACCACTCTAGGCGTCCTGCTTCCAGATTTTCCAGGGCCTCCTGTGCATTCAGATTTCAGCCTAAACATACTTCCTCAGCAAGGCCTTCCCTACCCAGGAGCCCTGTCCCCTCCCAGCCTAGTCAGGATCATGACAACATTTTCCATTTTCTTCTGAGCACATCCTATAAGAAATTATCCTGTCATGTGTTTAGTATCTGTTTGCCCCAGGTATTTCAGAAGTCTTTGTCCTATTCACACTGTACTTCCAATATTTAAGTGGTGCAATACACATTTTAAATTTTTATTTGGAAATAATTATAGATTGGTTATAGGAAATTATAAAAATAGTACAGAGAATACAAATAAAAATAGAGCCAATCAGTGAAACAAAGGTGGTTCTTTGAAAGGATCAGCAAATTGCCAAACCTTCAGCTAGACTAATGAAAGAAAAAAGAGACCTACTTCAAATTAATAAGGTCAGAATGAAAGAGGAGATATTACTGTTGACCTTACAGAGATAAAAATAACTATAAGGGAATATTATGAACAATTGTATGCCAACAAATTAGACAACCTAAATAAAGTGGACAATTCCAAGAAAGACATAAATGACCAAAACTGACCTAAGAAGAAACAGAAAACCTGAGCAGACCTATAGCAAGCAAAGAGATTGAATTGCTCATCAGACACTTCCAAAGAAAAGTCCAGGACCAGATGGACGGTCCACTGATGAGTCTCACCGAACATCTGAAGAGTTAACAATTAGCAGTTCTTCCAAAATATTTTTTTTTGGGAGGGGGTACCAGGGATCGAACTCATCCAAATACTTTTAAAATACGGCAGTGCCCTGGTATCAAATCAGACAAGGAAACTAGGTGTCATTCGTCATTAGGGAATGATGCGGACGAAGGGCACAATAAGATACCGCTTCATACCCACTGAGATGCCTAGAATAAAAAAAGAGGAAAAGGTAACTGAAAACAAGTCCTAAGGAGCATGTGAAGAAACTAGAACCCTCACACCTGCTGGTGGGAAGGTAGAAGTGACCGAATTCAGCCCCAGTGGACGGCAGTCTGGGGTACGGCTCGGTGAGGAAGAGCTTGCCTCGCATGTGCAAAGCCTGGGTTCCACCCCCAGCATTGAGAAGAAAGCGCTCTCTGCAAGCACCTCTAGTATGTGACCTCTTTGGCATGTTTCGCTTAGTGGAATGCCCTTGACGTGTTTCCAAATCTTTGTGTGTGTCAAGTTCGTTCCTTTTTAATGCAACGCTTAATGAAACTAGAGTTCATTCCAAGGCAGTCAGCGTCTCTCTGTCTGTGGGTGGATCCGTGTTAGCTCGATGCTGGGACAGAAAAGCACCTTTGGATTTGGAGTTAGAAAGTTACCTCCTCAGAGAGGCCTTCTCTGACCATCCGTTCTAAAATAGCCATTCCATTAACCACTAATAGTAGCTCTCTCCAGTTGTCTTTATCGTTTATCCATCCCTGCTTGATTTTTTTTTTTCCTGGAAATTGTGGTTGCTGGCCTTCCACCTGGGACAGAGCTACTGAACCCACAAGGTAGGGGTCGCTGCATACCCCTGCACTAGCTCTGTGTCAGCCCTAGGGGGCGCGGTCGCTGCTCGTGCCCATGCCCTCCCCTCCCACCCACAGCACACTGGCTGTTCGCCCCTGCCGCTGCTCACATCTCCCTCATGGAGCGTTCTTTTCTAGGTCTCCTGGCCCCACCCTGGGGAGCGGCAGTGAGGCGCCGTTCACAGCCCCCAGCCAATTTGAGCCATGAGCTGTCCAGCTCGAGGCACCCAATGAGTGCTCTTGGTCCACCCCTTACGGCTGCCCCCTCCCCTCCTGGCCCTCTCAGGCTCCCTCACTGTCTGCAGAAACTCCTACTCGGTGCCCCTGCCTATGGGCCGTTCACAGCCTCACTGCACCCAGGGGCCGTGAGCACTGCAGCAAGTCAGAGCTCTGCCCAGCTGTGGGCCCCACCTGGGACTGGGAGGCCAGTGCAGCAGCGGCAGCGTGCAGGTGCCCTGCTGCTTGTCCCCCGCCTTCTTCCCACCTGCCATGAGAGAGGGCGCTGCAGGCGTGCTGCCCACCCGCCCGGCCCTGGGGCTCTACCCAGCATGGTGGCCGCCGGCAGCCTTCTCCTGGAGACCTGCCTGTGGATGGGAAGCCTCCGAAGGCCTGCTTGCTAATGAGGCCCGCAGTTTCCGGCAGGTTAACATGTTCTGCCTCTGATCACCACAGTTCCCACACAGCCTCCTGATACTCCTCGTGCTGACAGCACTGTGAAGGGAAATCAATTCCAACCCCGGCGCCTGCACCCAGGCTCGCCTCCAGTTGCTCCCTGTGTCCGGCACCCACAGTGACCCACTTAGGCTGAGCTCAGGGAAGGAGTGACGGATTTGGAGATGGGCTTTCTTGGCACACAACCCCAGCCCCACAGCTGCCCAGAGCACCAGGAGTTCTTGCCCCGCTTGAGGAGCGCGCCAAACTCCTCTCCCCCACTCAACAAAGGCCACCTCCTCCCTCCTGAAAGGGACAATTGTCTCTGAAACAAGCCCCCTTTCTTCTCCCCCCGCAGCTGGAGCCGGGCCTCCCCTCCCTCGGGCCGACAACCCCAGTCAGCCTGTCCTCCCTCCCCACTCGGCCCAGTGGCGGACGCACCCTGTGATGCTCCAAATACAGTGCAGTGCCGCTATAGATGAAAGGGGTCCCCGGGCACTGTCAGACGGTGGTGGGTGCTCCTGGGCAGATAGGACTGCGGGGACTTTTCAGTGTGGGAGCAAGGACCCCAGCCCAGATGTCTGCAGGGCCAGGATCCTGTGAGGGGAAGGGAGGAGGGTGTGGGACAGCAGGGACTGGTGGGGGCTGCAGGGCCAGCTCCAAGCCATGGCACCAGGGACCCAGAGTTGCCACATGTTCCAGATCTGTGGAAAAGCTAGAAATCTGGCTCATTTTTAAGTACTGGCAAAGAATTTTTCTTTTTCTTTTTTTTTAAACATTTCACACACCAGGGCCGGGGATGTAGCTCAGTGGTTTTGCGGCCTGCTGCGGGAGCACAAGGACCTGAGTTCGATCCCCAGTACCAAAAAAAAACCCACCAAAAAACAACATTTCACATACCAAACAAAATACCTCTGCAAGCCAGATCCAGCTTAAAACTAAAGTCCCCATGAGAGGACAGGTGTAAGGGGGCCTGTGTCATTTATCTCCTCATTCAGTCATATAGTCACAAAGAATTGCTGGGCATTTGCCGTGTGCCCAGGAACAGTGCTGAATGCTAAAGTCAGGCACAGGCCCTTCCCCTACCAGGCCACAGACATGAAGCCAATGTGAGACTCGAGGCAGTGCGCATCTTAGGGCTGGCTGGAGGTGGAGGCACCTGTGCCAGGGAGGAGGTGACTATTTTAGCTGCGTTTCTCAGGATGAGCGGGTGCAGAGCATTGTCAGGGAGCAGAGGCCTGGCCCGAGCCAGCACTGAGGTCCAGCCAGCATGGGCAAGATTGGGAGCAGCTTGGGGTGGTTCTGATGGGATGTAGATGAGACGGGGAGGCAGGCAGAGGCAGGCGCTGAGGAAGTCCCCTGAGAGGCTTTCCCATCTGCCCCCAGGGCACTCACGACCTAAAAGTACTGGTGTGCGTGACCACGACAGCAGGGCACTCTGCACCTCTGGCCCACTGGCCTCCCAGGGCGGCCTCAGCTGGCCAGCCAGCAGTGGAAACAGGACTGCAATCCCCAGGGCCTCCACGCTTGGAAACCCCGAAAGGGAACAGAACAAACCCCCAGGTGCAGCGCCATGGCCCTGTCCCAACAAACTCCTCAGCCAGATTCCTCCTTTTCTATTTTACAATTTTAAAAAATTCAACAGGCTTTGACAAAAGAAAATCAAAGGGTCCATTTGCCAGGTTAATTAAACAGCGGGTGTGGGGTCCCTTCCCATCCTTCCTCCTGGTGTCCCTCCCAAGCCCTGCATATTCCTCAAAGCCCACTGCCTTTTCAATCCATCTGGCTGGCAGATCAGAGGGGCCTGCAGCAGCTGTGTATGAGGACAGGGTCTGCAGGGACTGAGATCCTAGTCCTGCAGGACCCTGGGCAGAGAAGGTGGCTTGGCCTGCTCCCCTGGCCCTCCTCGTTCTCATTAGCCCGGGCCACTGTTGTTTTAATCCGGCAGAAATCCTAATGGCCCCTCTCTCGATGGCCTTTCAGAGCAAGAAGGAGCCCTTGACGTGGACCTGCCCCTTCCACCCACCGCTGCGGCTCTTTTTTGTCATCCGCAACACAGGACGGCTGCATGACCTTGGTCTGGCCACGATCAGGGTCTGGAATTACTGGGCCGCAGATGGGGTGAGTAGCAGGTCTGTTTCTCGGAGGGGACTTGGTTGGTGAAGCACTGAGCCATTTGCCAAGCCTGGTTCCTGAAGCTCTAGGTGGGCTCAGGGTAGCCCTGCCACCCCTTCTCATGGTGCGGCAAGCGGCTGCACACTGCCTCCAAAAGAGCCACCAGGAACTGAGCTTTGGGCTTCTAAAAGCTTTGGGAAGTGACATGACTTTCCCGTCTTGGGGGAACTGGGAAAGTATGAGCTGAAGCTCAGTTGTACAGATGAGAAAGCAGAGGCACAGAGAGGGTCTGTAACTTGCCCGCATTCACACAGCTGGTCAGAGTCTGAGTTAGAAGTGAACCCACGCATTCGGACTCCAGGTCCAGTCTTCAACCGTTGCTTCCAAAACACTACTCTGAGGCGACTCACCAGGGAGCCTTGTTAGGATGCAGGTGTAATACAGCTGCTGCAGGCCGGGCCTAGATTCTCCCCGTCTGAGCACCTCCAGGGCCCGACCTTCCTGCTCCAGGCAGTCTCCCGAACTTACCTGCCTTTATTCCTTCATGGCGCATGTATTGCTGAGCACACGCCAGGGCCCTCAGGCTTCACAGTAAGTTCTGAAGACACCGTGTGAGAGACACTGTTGTGTCCTGGAAGGGCGTCTCATGCAGAAGCCCGAGCGAGGAGTAGATGGAGAATGCAGTAATGCAGGGTGGGGAGCCCAGCGCCTGGCTCTGGCAGGGGACATGGCGAGCAAGGAAGGACAGGCCAGTCGCTCTGTCCTGGTCCCCTCCTGTGATGGACATGGGGCCAGGGGTTGCTGTACCTGTCCCTCAGGCCTGTAAGGAAGCAGAAGGACGAGGACAGGAGGAACTGGTCCTCAGCCTCAGGTCTGGACAGACACCAGAGGCTGCTGGGGACTGCAACCTGCTGGAAGCCCGCGGCCAGGGAAGGAGCCAGTTGGTGGGTAGCCATACCAGCCAGGGCTGCTAGGTCTTCTAGCTTGGAAATCTGATTTCTGAGGTGAGTCTCCGTAAATGTCAGAAGTTCATTTCAGTTTTTCTGAACTACCGTACAGTTCCAGGGCACCTCCTCTCCGGGTTGGAGCGGCCTCCCCAGGTGTGGAGCAGGAGGGATAAGGAAGGGCCTGGCAGAATCCTGCCCTGAGCTCAGGTGCAGGGCCAGCGGAGTGAGTGGCGGAGAGCAGTGAGTGTGTCGGGGTGGACACTGTGTGCGGGTGTGAGGCGTGGAACAGTGAGGGGCCTCCTGCCCCCAGCTGTGGGCCCAGGAGCCCCAGGGAGGACCCATCTCACCCTGACTCAGCAGGTCGAGGTCAGACCTTGAGCATGGCGGCAGAGCCCCCGACCCCTCACGCTGGCTCCGCTTCCCTCCTGTTGGTGCCCCCTGCACGCACAGCCTCTGGACGTCTGTGGGTGCGCTGTCTGGGCCTCTGCTTCCTGGAAACCCGGGCCACTTTCCCGGGGAGCCCGCCCTGCCCTGCCCCTGCGCCCTGGTTAGAACTTGTGACCAGGTCCTTCCTGCACCGGAGTTTACGTGAGCTCCACCACTGCTGTTCAGAGCGGACAAATGGCCGGTGGATGAACGAACGAGCTCCACTTCCCCCTGCTCTGTGAGCACTCATGTTGCCCTTTGTTTTGTTTTTTTTTATTGGGTTTAGTTGGCTGATTGGGTTTTGTTTTTTATTTGTGTGGTACTAAGGCTTGGACCCAGGACCTTTGCACCAAGATACTCCCCAAGTCCTTCTATTCTTTCTTTTTTTTGAGCCAGGGTCTGAGTTCCCAAGTTGCCCAGGCTAGGCTCAAACTTTGAATCCTCCTGCCTCCGCCTCTCGAGTTGAGTGCTGGGCTTGCAGGTGTGCACCTTGGTCTTGTTGCCCTTTCTGATCTTCAGATACAAGCCTGAGGCTCAGAGAGGGCAGGTGGTTGGCACAGGTCACACAGCAAGTTAGAGCGGGGGACTGGAGTGAGCACGGCGACCCTCCGCCTCGGTACCTTCTCTGGCTGCTGTCACACCCACCCACCCACTTAGACCTTCATCCTCGTGAGCTTGGCCTGGGCACCATCTGCGGTGGGGAGCGCAGATCTGGAGCCGATGAGGCAGACGGAGTCCCAGCCGCCTCTGTTCACATGCACCCTGCCCAGAGGAGTAACAGAAAGGTACACCTGAAATTTCAATTTGAGAAAAAGAAATCTGAGCCCGCCGCCCCGGGGAAGCTTCTGGGCCTGGCCCTGTGTTCAGACGCCAGCCTGGGGCCCTGGAGGGGCCCTGGAGTAGCCCTGGCCCACAGCCGCCGCGCCCCGCCAGCATTAGGGCCCTGTATGCCCTGTTCCCGGTCCCGCCCGGCACTTCCTGGCAGGTGAGCAGCAGCACCTTCCTAGGGACGAGTAATGAGGCCCTGCTGGCTGCCCAGCCTGTCTCCTGCCACTCAGCCCTGTCACTGAACATGCATCTCTGGCCAAGAAAAGCACATTTCCTGGGCTAGATCACAAAGCTGATAGCTCTATCCCTTTTGGGCAAGCCAAGCCTTTCTTTTCAACCTGTGCTCAGCCTGCCTTGTGTGTCTGAAATACAGCTATGAAGCAGGGTCCTCAGTGTCCCACAGAGCACCTCGGTGTTTCCTGGGCGTGTGCACTCGGGGCTGCGGGGTTGGAGTACCGTGTCCCCCAGAGGTTCAGGGAAGACAGGGAGGGCAGCAGGGCTGTGGGCGCAGCTTATGTAACACACACCCGTCTGTTGCCAGAATTTACTGGGGGCAGAAAAGCACAAACGAATGCAGCTGCAGGTTGGTCTGATTTAATGTTCCCCAGAGAAGGCCATTACTGTGTGTTTCCGAGGAGATAAAGTGAGGCTTTATAGGAACTACACCCTGGCCCGGTAGACGTGGCTTGTTATACTGTGTTTTGTGCATGAGAATCTTGAAGAAGAGTTAAATGGAGGAGCTAATCCAACCAAGGCTTATTTAGGATGGAAGAAAAGGAGGCAGTAGGAGAAAGGGGAGTCTTTTTATTGGAAAAGGTGCTGCCTGTTACATTCCCAGGCTCCTTTCCCCCTTATTCGGTGGCCTGGTGAATGTGAGCTGCTCTGAGGAGAGGAACTTGGGAGGGGACTCGAGGACAGGAGGCCACAGGAGGCAGCACACAGCCGTCTCCGCCTGACAGCTGCCACATGTCAGGCACACACGGGGCCCCTGTGGGCACCAGACAGACCTGGGAGGGAACCGATGATAAAAAGAGGGCACCGTGTCATGTCACCCTCAGCGGTCGCTCAGGGCAGCAGGGGCCTTCCCATCCTGTAGCTGAAGCTGAGCGCTTAGGACAGAGTGATGGGTGTGGCAGACAGACCGTGTCTCTTTGGCCCACTCTGACTGGAAATGGCTGTGTGGAGTACCGTCGTGAGAAGGATCTGGAACCTTCCTTTTGGTTCATCAAGGAGAGGAGGTTTCGGGCTCAGGAGGACGGGGTGACGTGTGTCACATTGTGCCACGTTCCCCGGGTGAGGGGTGAGGTCCCCCGGGTTTTCTCAGGCTCTCTGGGGCCCTCCTGCACGTGACATCTGCTGGAGGAGGGGTCCACTCATCCCCCTTGTAAGGGGGCCGGAGGTGGGTGTGGCTTGTCCCCCGGGGCTCCTGTGTTAGAAGTCGGGTCCTCGGTGGGGCGAACTGTTGAGAGGTGGTGCAGCCTGATGGGAGCTGCTGGAGCACTGCCCTCAGAAGGGGTCCAGGTTGTCCTCACAGGAGCCTGAGTGAGTTCTTGAGAGAACAGTGGTTATGGGAAGAACAAGTCTGGCCTCTCTTTCTGTCCTTGTGTCTCCCACATACACTCTGCCATGATCCCATCAGCCACGAGGACTTCACCAAAGCTGAGCCAGGCCAGCTAAGTGCCATGCCCTTGAACCTCTGGAGCTGTGAGCTGAATACACCTCTATTCTTTGTAGTTCCCCAGCCTCGGGTGTTTTGGATGGTAACAGAAAACAGACTGACACACTCCAGAACCTGGGCTTCCATCGGTGCCCATGGTCCCCTGGTTCTCCTTCATAACAGTCCCACTGGCTGTCTGCCTACTGAAAACAGGCACAGCACGGCCATCCTTGCCCACAGCGGCACCACAGAAGCTGCCCAGAGCCTGCTCATAACTGCAGGTGTCCAAGCAGGGCAGGCCCTCAGGATGCCTTATACACCGAATAGTGCTCAGCCTATAAATCTTGAGTGAATAAATGAGTGAATGAATGAACCAATGAGTATCCCAGGTCCCAGTGGATTGTCTCTGCGATGTGCCATACAGCCTGGGCTAGTGCTGCAGTGACAGAAATGTGCTGTATGTGCCCTGGCCAGGATGGTAGCTTCTAAACACGGGCGGTGGATGAAAATTTGGAATGTAGCTGGGCAACTGAGAAACTGCACCTTAAAATTTATGTAATTTGAATTAATCTGAATTTTAACTTAAGTGGCCATGTAGCTGGTGACTGTGCTTTAGGCCAGGTGGTCTTGGAGCCGGGGAGACATGGAGGAACAGCCAGGGCCTGCCTGCACAGACCTGTCCCTTCCAGTGGGGAGGGGCACAGAACAAGGCTCTGAGGGAGCGTATGCCATCACTTCCTGCAGAGTGGAGTGCTCTGAAGACAGTAGAGGAGGGCAGTGAGCTAGGGGCCTGGTGGGGAGGAAATGGCTGCTGAGGACCAGGGTTCAGAGTCAGGGGCAGCAGCCGTGGATGTCAGTGGGAAGAGCATCCCCAGCAGGGCCCACAGCAGCGGGAAAGGCCCTGAGGCAGGCACATGCTTAGCCACTTCCAGGAGGGAAGCGGAGTCCAAGGCTGCAGCATGGTGGACAGAGGAGGGTAAGGGGAGGCTCCAGAGGGGGCTGGAGCCAGGTTGTGTGGGCCCTGAAGGTTTGGGCCTTACTTGGAGAGAGCCAAAGAGATGGGGATCGGAGAAAGCTGTCCATCAGCACCAGGCCACTCGGGGCCAATCCTCATGGCTGCAGCTGTGTCGCCAGAGCTCCCTGTGTCT